ATTACACCCCTAATATATATATATATATATATATATATATTGTGCATCTTTTCTCAAAAAGTGAAGCATATTCACCTATTTGGATGGCACAAACACACACACATACAAACTCTAGCACTGTACTTCATGCATGGTGTGAAATTAATCCCAGACTTCTTCCACACTGGCACTGGGACGGTTTGTCACAACACTAGTCCAAAAAAGTAACTTTTGATTTGCTTTCTGCTTCAATGTTCCCCCACAGCATCCAACTGAAGACGTAGGAGGAACTGGGGGCCTTCAGCAGTGCACAGCACAAACAGAGCAGAAAAATGAGAGAGACAGAGAGAGAAAGAAGGCTCTGCAATTAAAACAAGTTTGCTGAGAAGCCTGGGAGGCTCATTCATCATACCCAAAACAACACAGGCATTCTGGCCCGTTGAGTGAGACACAAACACCACCTCATCATGTTCTTCATTTTAAAGCAAATGTGTTTCCACAAGCACCTTATTTATAAAGAACTCTGTCTCTCTCAGGATGTTCTGGGAAGAAATGAGCTGTTGTGTGTGTTCTACTCTAATTAATCTTCCTCGGTTTCCTAATTCATTATTTGGTGGTACAGCTTTTGTGCTGCCCAGGAGATAAATTATGTCTGGATTTTAACTTATTTATTCCTAAATAAATGACCATATCAAGTGATGAATTACATTAGCAATATTTAATATGCATGTGGTCCAGATCTTAAATGTAATCGTTTCCTCGTTTAAAAAGTTTTACCCCTAAATAAATGAATATTGCTTTAAAGTTGCACTACACAAGAGATTTTGGTTAAAAATGAACAAATCAACATGTATACCTCAAACCATCAGATTTATCATTCTGCAGAGGAGCAGTGCCAAAGCATAACACATGTAAAGAAATAATTTTGCTATTTTACATTTCAAACAGAGAAGAGGTCAAAGTTTCATAGCGCATATTTAAAAGAAAATGGTTTAAAACAAACATTCACATGAGATAAAGTCTCATGACTCATAAAAACATGTCCATAATAATAAAGATAATAAAGCTGCTTAATTCACATGGAGTATCGCCTCATGGGGGTTGAAATGTTGAGATCACATGACCAGATACTTCTCATTTTCTCTGGAATTTCTTGTTATCGAACATTTCGCTTGTGGAATAAATTATTCATGGCTTACTATATGAAATGGGTATTTTTATCATGTGTAATGAACATTTTTGTTCATGCTTTATTCTATCTGTATCCATGCCACTAGGTGTCTGTATATTTCTGGAAAACTACCAAATCAATTAACAACTTTAAGCAGAACTGCTGAATTTGAACTACATAAGCAAATGAGTACTGCAAGTTTCTTAAGTCAAATCTTAAATGTTGCTTGTTGTTTTCTATCAATCTCTTTGGATTTTTTGAGCAGGAAAATATCTTTACTTTCAGAGTAAAGTCTCGCACCGAGAAAATTATTGATATTTCCTTGAAAATCCGTTACGACCTACATGTGAAATGTTTTGATGGACCTATAGAAATGACCTTTCAGAGCCTTTTTTTATCTCTCAACAGCTTTTCAGTGACCTAAAAAATCAAGAAAACTCCCGGATGCACTGTTACTGCTCATATTGTTCACAGAAATGTGCTAAATGTTCACCAGTCAGTTATAGCAGAATCAAACTGTAATTACATAATTTTTCTGGGAAACGGATGGCCTTGGGGCCTAAGAATCACTTAATTGTCATGAATGTGCTTTTCGTTGGAAAGACATGAGGAGTGCAGCGCATCCTGTGTGCTTCATTGCCCTCCAGCAGGCGCACTGTATCCTTGCCCATGATTAAATAATCAATATCAAAGGTCAAACGGAGTGGTGATGTGTCAACCTAATGAAAGTCTAATGACAGTCATTTGCAGGCCATGCTGGTCGACCCTGGTTTTGATCAGAATGAGGCACTGAGGAGAATTTGAAAGCAGAACCACACGGTTTTTTGAAAATGGTAATGTACAGTGATTATTTTTTCGATCATTGCCAATTAATTAAGTACACAGCTGTGGAAGGCAACAAAAAAAACATGATTTTGTATGTATGAAGAGATGTGACATGATCATTTAGAAAATAATATTCAAGTGTCATCTTTCCACAAGATCAAACTGTCCACAAATGAGA